AAGTTTGATTTTAATAGCAGGCTCAGCCGTACCAACTGTATTACTCTGTTTCTTGTCCATCGGGGTTTTTCCTGCTCCCCCCCCCCACTTATCTGTAAACAAATTAAGATGAATGGGAGACATTCTGCGTTGAGTACGACATGAGAGGAACAGGGAACCATCAACCCAGTCGCAAGACCGCAAGACCAGTATATCTGATGTTAAGTTTGAAGATTTCTTGTTAAGTTTATTTCATTTTAGATTCTCGATGTTTTTGTGACCGGATCTGGGGCACACCCAGACAGCTCTTCAGTGGGTATCTGCGGCTCTTTCCGCTGGGGCAAAGGGGCAGGGGCTTACCACCCACTCCCACCTAATGCAAAGGTTAAGAATGCGTCTAGCTGTACCTCCATTCTCCCATACGTCTTCATAAGCACAGGAAGAAAACCTTAATTTTTCTTCTTCTTTCCATTGATTAGAACCGGGATAGCTCGGTCGGTATAGCGACTGGTTACGGGCTGGAACGACCGAGAGGTCGGAGTTCGAGTCCTGGTAGGGCCAAGAACTTTCATTTCTCCGTGTCGTCCAGGCCGGTTCTGTGGTTCATCCAACCTCCTATACAATTGGTACCGGAGGCTCTTTTCTTGGGTGTAAAGCGGCCGGGGCGTGAAGCTGACCACTAACCTGCAACTAGTGCCGAGGTCAAGAAAATGTGGATCTATACAGGCACTCCCCCATACGTCTTTATGGTGTAGTGCCTAATTAATTAAGGACAGGGACAGCTTTACCTTTTGGTTTTGTGTTGTAGCTAAGAGATTGTGTCGCTCTTCTCTGCTTATTGCGTGATGTATGTACAGTCATCACATAATGAGCCGACTGCGCATGCCCCTCAGTCGAGTTGCATGTTTCATATCCAGAATTATTAAACATTTCCAAGTTAATAATGTTGTATTTTTGCGTCGTGTTGAACTGATTCACGTTCATGATGTGTATGTATTGGCCGTCTTCTAGTGCACTCAGTCTCACATGTCACTTCACTACATGTTTCGTCATCACTGTGCCATCCTCAGGTGTGTTATTTACGTTAAGCTATTGCACTGCTCGCCATCATGTGTCGTTTGTAAAATGATTTTAATAGTAGTCATACTAGAAGCGTATACCAATACATGAATTGTAAACGTAAACTATTACATTGAATGCCAACATAAATTTTAATAAGACGAATATACATTTTACAAACGACACATGATGGCGAGCAGTGCAATAGCTTAACGTAAATAACACACCTGAGGATGGCACAGTGATGCCGAAACATGTAGTGAAGTGACAGGTGAGATTGTGTGCACTAGAAGACGGTCAGTCACAGGTTACTGAGACTAGATACTTTGTTAAATTGGTTGCTGACACAGTGGGCTTAGCCTAATGTTGTATGTTCCTACTGCAAGGACAAAATAACATCCGTCTGAGAACCTGGTCTCTCCCATTGGTTATGTATTTTGGATGTACGTGTATAATACATGACCTAAATAAATTAGAAATCCAAAATGCAAAAGAGCGCCCTTAATAATTTAATGCAGGCCTGTTAAAGCATCATTTCCACATATATTTGTGCATGTATGTTAGAAAAGGCCACCCCGAACATGGCCCCATGATGGCTCATTCTCATTGTTTCGCAAATTTCTCATAACTCTCGTAACCATCTTATATCATGGTATGAAAATAGTGACATTGTTCCTACCTCTCATTGCATGGTCCCCGCGGTGTCTCTGCTAGGCAGAGGACGCAACAATAGGAATTAACGCACTTTTCATACATAAATCAATTAGCAGTGTAAGCATAGTTGATCTTTTTATGCATGTGATAATTACAGGACTGGAGAAGTGTGCTTCAGATTAGAGTTCCCATTCAGAGTGTGGTTTTCAGGGTTGTGATACCGTGTTGTTTTGTACGGGGATACACACGATACAGAAGTTCCTGCCTCTGTCTTCAGGTTAAAATTTGTAAAACGAGGAATCAGATGTTGTATAGGCAGGCTGCTAAGAAGTGGGTCAGATCCCAGGGAAGGGGGACAGGAGGTGGAGTCTGGCCTGGGTCAGTAAGCGTGGTGAACTCTGAAGACGGACGCAGCGAGTCCCTCCGGAATGTTGTTATTCTCCTACAAGACTGTACAGTGTTACAACCCAGAAGCGCGCAGTTTGAACGGTTATCTCCGCGGAAACATGTCTGTCCGCCGTCAAGTTTTGTAATACAGTAAACCCTTGATAATCCGGATCGAAATATGAAAAATGAAAAATTCTGTTTACAGTCGAATAAATGCTTTAAAAGACACGTGACATTTAGGAAGGCAGATGAGTCACTTGTCTGTTCAGACAAAACTTGACAGTTTTTTTCCAACCTGCATTATTACGTTCAGTAACAAGTACAACTTCTGAGTCTTCTATCTATGAATAAATGTATTGTCTTTTTATAGTTTTAAATAAAAGCGCTACAGTGATTTTTTATTCATTTCCATCAACACTACTTATGTCCTTACATTTTACATTTATTTGTGTTCTAAGTGTTTCTGTATTTAGGGCGACCGTTTGCTTCACCAATCCGGATTAACGAGGGTGCTGTATTTATGTCAGTGCAGTTAACGAAAAAGACCAAATGTTTTGCAGTAGAAGTTGGTTTTGCGTAATTAGCAACGAGACTTTCCACACGGCACTAACGATAAAACCATTTTTGGTAAAGAAAACGTACAAATGTTGGGACATCCACTGTTCTCGCCTGATTGGCCCTTTCCTTCACCGGACCTTATCATGAGCCAGACAAATCCGGTCCGTACTACCCCATGGTATTTCTCTAAGATTCATTTTAATATTATCCCATCTAGGACTATATCTTCCTAGTAGTCTCTCTTCTCCTGGCTTTCCTACCAAAACATTTCTCTTCCCCCCATTTGCGCTATATGCCCTGCCCACCTCATCCTCCTTGGCTTGAGCATTCTAATTATACTTGAAGAAGAGTACAAGTTATGAAGCTCCTCATTATGCAGTTTTCTCCACCCCCGTAATATTTCACCACTCTTCAGTTAAAATATTCTTCTTAGAACCCTGTTGTCAAATACCCTCAGTCTGTTTGCATCCCTTAATAACGGAGACAACGTTTCACATCCATGCAAAACCACAGTTTTGTCTGATATGCTGTGTGCGTGTTAGACAGCAGACTGGGAGACGGAAGGTTGTGGACTGACTGGTAGCAAGCGTTGCCGCTAAATAAACTAGATAATAGAGAAATGGACAGCTGTCGCTTCGCCCGCAGTACCAGAGGGACGGACCCCTGGATATGAACTGGTCTGAACATGGTGACAAAAAGAACATTTCCTGCTTCTGTGGTGAACCTAACGTAACCCCAGTCGCCCAGCCCATACCCAGCGAGGAATGTTACATTTGAGACCTCGGTACTAAGAACACATCAGTGTTGCGATATTGGGTGAGGTCACCATGTAAATATATTCAGCAAGCTTTGGGTTACATTATCGTCGGAATTCCTTATCTTATAATTCGATGACGTATTTAGAGTTGGGAATGGAGAAGAGGAACGCATATAGGATATTGGTGGGAAAGCCAGAAGGAAAGAGACCACTGGGAAGACCAAGGCGTAGGTGGGTGGGCAATATTAAAGTGGATCCTAGGGAGATAGGATGGGTTGGTATGGAATGGGTTGATCTGGTTCACGATCGAGACCAGTGGAGGACTCTTGTGAACACGGTAATGAACCTTCGGGTTCAATAAAATTCTGGGCAGTTCTTGAGTAGCTGAACAGTTGGTGGCTTCTGAAGAAGGGCTCCGTTCCTTGAGTGAGTGAGTGTAGGGCTGGAAATGGATTTGCCGCGACTGCCTCATACCCAGCACCTTTTTTTTCTTTTTATTTCCTCTTGGAGACCTGAGGAAACAAAAAATTCCGAATAGAACAAGCAAAGCCTACTTTTCGTAATACAATACATAGATCTCACGCCCGCTGATTAGTTACTATTATTGCTCTTATTTTTTTATATGAAGACTGTATTATTCAAGTACAGATTTTGTTCACATTAACTTCGCCCGATATAACTATAAACTTTCGCGCTGTCACCATAGTTCAGACTGTGGACATACGAACAGCATTCTCTGCATAATGTGTTGGTGTGTTTAAAGTCTGCGCACAAAATTTCGTATGTACGTTCAAGTTTCGGAACCATTTTTTTAATAATTTTTCGGACATGCCTGCAACTGAGTGGGCCTTACCGCCTTCGAAGTACTCTCCTCCTGCATTGATGCACCACTCCCAGCGCCGATGCCACTTCTGGAAACAGTCCTGGTACGCCCTTTTCGGCATGGCGCGTAGCTCCGACAGCGAAGTTTACGTAATCTCGTGAATCGTCTGAAATCGTCGTCCTTTGGAAGTGGCTTTGAGTACGGGAAATAAGAATAAGTCTGCCGGAGCCAGGTCAGGTGACTAGGCTGGCTGGGGTGGCACAATTGTGTTCGTGTTGGCCAAAATGTCACGAATCAGTGGCGATGCATTGTCATTGTGGAGGAACCAGGACATTTTCTCTTAGACGTTTCAGCCCTTCATGATAATACCAGCGATTCACTGTTTGTCCCTGACGTAAGAATTCATAATGCACAACACCCTCGATGTCAAGAAAACCGTCAACATGACTTTCACGTTCGACATAACCCGCCATGTCTTTTTCGGTTTCAGCGAATTATTTCCAACCCACTATAAAGACTGTATTTTCGTTTCCACATCGTATCCACAAACCCATGTTACTGTTTCACGTGTAGGGACTGTGATATGTCATGAGAAATTTGTCTGAATTACCAGTACCCACCTGAGATTCTGACCAGTATATCTTAAAAATATTTTCATGTGTGTCATATTTCATAGCAACAGAGCTTGTGGTTATTTAGAAAATTGCATTTAAATTTGTTAAATTAACATTGCAGCTTCTGCCCTTAAGTCATATAGTCAGTGAATTCTTGTTCTTGTTGCAGGTGCAGATGCTTCAGCAGCAAGTGAGCGTACTGGCCGACAACCAAAACAACACAGATGACCGCTACACCCGTGCCAAGCAGGACAGTGCAGCCCTCCAGGCTCGAGTCCATATGCTAGAAGAGCAGCTAAGAGAGTCTGAGCTTCGGGCTGAGGAACGTCTGCAGGAGGAGCAGAAGAGGCATCGAGAACTCATGGTGCGGATAGAGAGAGAGAAGCAGCTGCAAGTTGAAAACTGCACTATTAGGTATGCCACATGCTGTAATGAGAACCAGCTACATACTCTGCCCATCTCATTGTCCTTCTAATTACACTTGGAGAAGAGTACAAGTTATGAAGCTCCTCTTTATGCAGTTTTCTCCAACCTCCTGTCACTTCATCTTTCTCTGGTCCAAATACTCTCGTTAGCATCCTGTTCTCAAACACCCTCAATCTGTGTTCCTCCCTTAAAGTCAGAGACCAAGTTTCACACCCATACAGAACCACAGACAGTATTATAGTTTTGTATATTCTAATTTTTATGTTTTTGGACAGCAGACAAGAAGACAAAAGGTTCTGGACTGAATGATAGAAAGCATTACCTGAATTCAAGCTGCTCTGCATTTCCTCCTGATGAATCAAGTTTTGATTTGTTGCTGTCATACTCAAATATTTGAATTATGCAACATTTTAAAAACACTTGTTAGTGAACTGGTGGTCTGCAGGACAGTTTTCAATGATCGAAACAAGTAGTAGTCACTTGGGATTAGAATAGGACTGTACAGTGGATGATGTAGAACCTAGCAGCAAAATTTTGCAGGCAGTCTATTCATGAAGGTAATGTTATGATCTTCCCACATTTAGTAACTTACTGAGATCAGTTTTGGATCATGAAAACAACATAATGACAAGCTGATGAACATTCAAGCAAACACTGCCCAAATTACATTCAATGTATATAGGTTCTGAAAAGAGATGTATATAAATGGCAGAAAGAAGAAGGTAATGGATGACATTTTGAACTGTGAAACTTTAATAATACATTTGTGAATGTTCAGGTTACAAACATTGGAACTAGAAGGAGCAAGCTTACGTGAGGAATGTACGAGGCTTCGCTCGCAAGTCGAACGGTTACGAGCAGAGAAACAAGCATCTGAAGAGCTGAGAGGAGAGGAACAAGTGATGTTGGCAGCCTTGAGAGAAGAATTGCAGACACTGCGGGACATAGAGCGGAGAACGAAGGATGAGAGGAGGGTGAATGCACAGGTAGGCAGCAGGGCCTTCTACTTGCAGTATGTATGATATTTTGATGTGTTAATCTTGCTCAGTATTACATGTATCATTTTACTGTAATGAAAATCCATTGCTAGGATTTAATAATCTGTACAGATTCTTCACTGAGGACTCATAAATTGTAGTTCTGGTGAAGTTAATTAACAATAAAAATATCACCCTGCATGAGAGGCAAGCAAAATTGTTTCCTGTGTCTCATTAAAAATCAGTTCCACTGAAAAATGTTTCACACAAAGCTTAGATATTTTGAAGGTTGCTGTCTTGGGATGCGACAGTGTGGTCTGATAGATTGTTACCACTGTTACAGAAGAGTCTGTTGCTTCTGAAGCACTCCTTAACAAACAATAAAACAGAGGGAGCAAAAAAAATATGAAAAGGACAGTAAACTCCAAATGAAGTAAATAAACAAAATGAACTACCCATGGACCTACAATTTTTGTTACTGAAATAAATAGACAGGATCATCCCTGGGCAATAAAACTATTCTTTAACCAATAAGGAATCAAGATAACAATAAAGAAAGCAACAGAATGTGTAAATAAACTCAAAATAGAGCAAAGAAATCAGTTAAACTGCCCTCATAGCAGTCTTTCAAAATGCACATCATCACATATTGGAAGATGGTAATCTTTATAGTTGTTATGAGAACCTCAAATCTTACAAACTATGAACATGTTAATAATAACTGTTCTATGCTTCATGCCAATTCATTGTACAGGAAGCTGTTTTTATTTTTAGAAAATTGGTTTTTCATTTAAGTTTATTACAAATTAGGGGTTATATTGGACTAATGCAGACAGAGTAAAATTTATGTAACAACTTTTTGTGTAGATTTCCTCTGTCACACTTCATGAAAGTCCTTTTAACTGTTGATGCAGAAGACATAAATTCACCACAGTATGGTCTGTAACAGTGCATAATGCATAATGAAGCCTGTAACAAATTGATACATATTGGAAAGGAAGACAAATAATTCTGCTTTATATTTCAGTTTGTTGAAGAGCTGAATTCAGAAATAGACCGACTGAAGGCAGAACGAAAGGGAGCGGACATTATGGAAGCCCACAGTCAGTCAGAATTGAATGGGCAACTTCATGATGATCTTACAGGAAGACTTCATGAGCTGCAGGTCGAGGTGACCAGTTTACGACACCAGAACAAAAGTATGTTAATGCTTCATGTCAGATTTAGCTTGTGTAGTATTGTGGTCAGTGGGACCCACTCATATTAGTTACTCACTAAGGAGTACCGATTTGTTTCTGGGAAGTAAAGAGGTAAAGTTGTCTGTGTGTTTAATTAATTAGACACTATGCCATGAAATTGTGAGGGAATGGAGGTATAGCCCCGCCTTTCTTGCCCTTGGCACTTGTTGGAGGTGGGTGGTCAGCTTCATGCCTGCTTCACCCATTTGGAAAAACCCCCAGCACACATTAGATAGGAATCTGGGTGAGTCTCAGAGCCAGTCTTTGAAAAGTGAAGCGATATTGTTGTTTTTAAAGCAGAAGTTTTCGTGAATTTTCATTAAGTTTTTGAAAGCCATGTATATCCAGGTTTTCCAAAGGGAAGAACATAGATTAAGGGTGTTTGAGAACAAGTGCTGAGGAGAGTATTTGGACCTGAGAGAGAAGACTGAAGAAAATTATATACTGAGAATTAAGCTTAATTGGAAGGTGACAGAATTTTTTTGTGTGGAAAACTTCTGAAAATGCAAGGTTTAATTGTGCCACTAGGTGTCATAATGTTAGAAGAGATAGCTGAACATTTTTTCAGTACCTAAGTCTGTTCCAAAATTGAAACTGTTGATTTGTGATATAATTTGAATGTTATTGGAGAAGTTTCTTTTATCTGGCATTTCTAGATTTGTACTGATGCTTCCGGTATTAAGCTGTGTTACCATTTGCCCAGGGAATAGAAATGAGATTAAAATTATGTATTGTGCTAACTGTATGACTGAATACACAATTAAGTACAGCAGCGTAAGTCATTTTAGCTTTCATGTGTGGATTAATTTTAACTGATAACTCTGTGGAGTAGAATTATTCTTCAGAAGCTTATTGTTGCTCAGGTAGTCAAGACAGTTGCAGCATTGTGTGGAGTCTGAAGGTTCATTACTCTTTTCACAGAGGCCTGCCTCTGAACCCTATCCTGAGCCAGATGAATCCATTCTACACCCTGTCATTAACATAACATCCTGCTTAATTAGGGTGTTTCATAAGTGTTGTAATGATAAATGTTGTAGATCTGCAAGAGACAGTTGAAGAACTCCAGGCACAGATGCTGACACGGAGCTTGGAGGAAGGTCGTAACTTGCTGACAGGTGTTGGCAATGGGAACAGTTTGGCTGAGGAACTAGAAGCAATGTCTGCACAGGAGGTGGGTTCATACCTCTTGCATGGTAGCAGTAGTACTTTACAGAAGGACAGGTGCTTGACAACCTCTTCCCACAGCTTAATGATGCTTGTCTGTGTAACTGTTATGCATGGAGCAAGCTCAGTCTGTATTTACTTAGTCGTAAGTGGGCTGTTAGTGAACATGATTAAAAATGCTGTACAGTTCAGTCTTCTTGAGAGCAACTCGAGAATCATTCCGCTGCTCAGGTGGGAGAGAGATGATGCATGTTGTACTTTCTCTTCAGTTTCATCTCGGTAAATATTTTAGCAGCTACCATGCAGCAAGCTTAAGTGTTTAGGTACTGACTGAGTATAATGCTGAGTCCTTGCTACTGTATTGTAGTGTGACAGCTGTTGCCATGCAGTAGATGAATAAATGGTGTTACGCATCCTGATTGTAGGAAACAGCGTGATAAACACGCCATTACAATAATATAGTTGCTGTTGGAAACGGTGTTTTATACTCAGTCTGTGCAAAGGGTTTTTAAGAAAGACAACTGGGGCGACCCTGTGTGTCTAGAATTGGCAGTCGAGTTCAGGAGTTGTCAGTCCTGTGAAGTTTTATACAGGAGGCTGTGAAGAAAAGAGTCAATTGCAGGAGTATGTCTGTGAAAGGAAGACTTTATGTGTGATATTTGAGGTATGTAATTCAGTGAGACTGTTAATAGTGCCTGTGTTAAAATCCGTTGTCAAGAAACGGCTAGTGGAGACTGTAATATACTGAGGACACTAGTCTGTGTGTCGGTGATCTGTGAAGTGTAATTACAAATCGTGTGTTAACGTGGTCAATAAATCCAAGGTCCAATCCAAAACGCTGTCTATAGTCACACTTAAATCATGACATTATTAAACTTTTGGTCAGTCTCTTTACTTCTTGTGTTGAAGTGTCACATGTGAGGCATTGGAATGACAGGTGTTGATGTATGATACTTGTGTTATAGTGCTGAATAGAAAACTGCTCAGTCATAAATGAGTTGTTACTTATGAGGTCAGTATTTGACGAAGAACTGAATTAAAGCTCCTGATATTGAAACCATGTAAAACACCAGTAACCGATTGGTGCATAAGATGACGCGTAAGATTACTTCATGGTAGCTTTTAAACGTGAAAAGAAATTATGATGTGTATTTGCTTTCTGTTTGTGAAGTCTGCTAACAGTATTAATCTGTACTGCCTCAGCTGATGTGAGGATTGGCTGTTTTTGCTGCTTAAGTAGCCAAATAATTTTTGGGTACCTCTTAGATGATCACAAAGTATATGTTGTGTTAGGCAATTAATAGCTCTTCAAACAAAGTAGGGGGGCTAATGCAGTAATGCCTTGGACTTGCATTTGGGAGGTGATCAGTTCAGATTTTGTCTAGGATGCTGGTTATCCTGATTAAGGTTTTCCATTATATCCTTAATTCCTCCAGCTAAGTTCCAGGATAGTTTCTCAAATTATACCATGACTGCTTCCTTCCACATCCTTTCCAGTTCATTACTCAGTTCATCATCCTACGAGTTTTTGAGATGCTGACAGCAACTGTAAATAAATCAGAAATAGATGAGAGAGTAAATCTGTACCAAGTGTGACTGTGCTGCAGAACATGGACTGATCAGTTTATCTAATACATCATGTACAAAATAGCATAAAGAAACGGTTATTTTTAAGTCATTGTGACTAGAAATTTTAAAACAATGGTCTTATATAAAAAATGTTATTAAAAATATGTAGAAATACTGGAAGCTACAGGCAGCCCTCAACTACATATATGCAATATATCAGCCGTAAAAGTTAAGCTGTCTACTGTATTGCATCTGAATTTTATGACAAGAAGTTCTGGGAAGAACCGATTGCCTGCTTTCCTTTCCATAAATATCGAATGTTTGATATGAACAGACCGTATGGAAAATATTCATGTTCAACAGTTCTCCTATTGTTGTTATTTGTTGCCATGGGAACATGTTTACAAGCTGTTGTGTAATAGTGGCCAACTTTTCTGGCTCCTCTGTTGCCAGTGGGGGACACACAGATGTACAGCAAGGTGATCTCATAAGCCTTCTCTTAGTTTTACAAAATAAGCAAAGTAGGCAAAAAAAATGCAGAGAGAGGGCTGTTACAACCAGCAAGTGCACAGAAATTAATTTGAATTTGAAGAGAGTGATGTAGGTGCGATGTGTTACTTAAAATTGTTCCCTTTAATCTTCCAACATCTTTTGCTTCATGAATGCATCACATTTGTCACTAGTTAATGTGTATAAGCTTCAGGCAATACTAAGGTGACTTGAGTAAGCATAGCAAGTAAACCTGAACCTGAAACCCAGCATACATATAGACATTTCTGTAAGCTTTAATTTTAATGCTTTCTGACTGAAACAACACAAGATTTTTATTATTTTGCAGGTGAAATATATTTAAATAATTTAACCAAAAAACATAGCTGTTGCTTTGTTTCCTTCGTTTTTGTGCTAGCTATCTTTATGCGCAATGGTGGTCCATATTTCATTCTTTCACATATATTATTTTATTTTCAGTTTTGTTTCTTTTCTGTTTTATTTTCACAGTTGAGGGATAAAACTGAAGAACAAATCACCCTAGAAAAGGTAGGCTGTTCTAGATCACAGTGATAATGCAGTGTGAAGACATTGTGCTGTAGGCTCTACTAACGTTACTTTTGAATTAACTGGTGATTTGTTGCCCCCTCCTTCCTCTCCCTCTATGTTTTGTTTCTAATGCATCTTAGTTATCGCTCTGTATCACTGTGCATGTTCATTAGTTACAGCCATAGAAAGTTGCATCTGTCTGCGTGACACAAGCACTATGCTTTTTGACAGAATATCATGGGCTGTCTTGGTGTATAGCTGCATGCTAACTTGTTATCATGTCCTGCAGCACTTGAAGTGCTTTTTATGAGTGGTATATTAAATGTTCATTTGAAATGGCTCCATTGAGCTTGTGTTCAGTGGCACATTGAATGCTGAGACTTAAATTCTGTGCCACTTAATTTCATTGTCAAATGATGCTTTGTTCCTTATGTCCAGTGATTACTTTATGTGCTTATGCACAGTACTACACTGTACGAGCTTGCACACCAGCTTGCACTGGAACAGTATGAACTGCGACAATTTTGCATACNTTAATAGAATAGTAGCATAGAAGTAGTGGAATGCTGCATCTTTATCATACTGCTAACTCATTGCCGAGATCTTGATGGTCACCGCTGCCTTCTGCAGCAGCAGCAGCAGAGACAGGAAGCCAACAAGGAACAACATTGTCAGGACTCACTTTTGACAAGACAAGATGAGAAGAAGTGTGGGAAATGTGTGTCAAGTTTCAGAATGTTGGGGTGAGGGGAAACTTACAGGATGTAGGGTTTAGGATTAGCGCTTGCTTGTAAACTGTCCTTATGTGTGTAGCAGGTGGAAGATTTGGCGTTCTTAGGCAAATGAGTGTGAAGATGACTGTATTGTGGGGTGTGATGCCATGGGATCTGGTAGATTGTTAACGATGTTCTGGAGGAATGTATTGTGTCCATATTCTGTGCTGAAGATGTAGGAAGCACATTCCTCCAGAAGTTAATAATGATCTACCAGACAACAGGGTGTCACATTCCAGAAGACAGTTCTCCTGAGTGTTGGTCGCCATGCAGTCTGTTACAGATGAAAGAGAAGCCATTCAAATAGTGCACTCATGACTTTTGGGCTTGAAAATATAGACTGTAATGTCTTTGAGAGATGTTTATTTAAATATATGTTCACTGTAAATGGATTTATACTGAACATTATAAGAGTTTTCTGTATAAAATTCTAGGGTTCGCTGTCCTTCTGCGTGTTCCATCTGCTTTTGCTCCATTCTCTTGTATAAAAAAAAAAAAAAAAAAAAAAAAGATTGGAATGACATTAGTCACACTAGACAGCAAGATTATGGTAACATAAAAGAAAATCAGCTTTTTAAATGATGTATATGGTGATTTCAAATCTGGACGCTTATAGTTTTTAATCATATCACAGTTGTGCATACTGAATTTTGAGCCAAAATAGCACATTTCTTCCAACTTATAAGTATTATGTCTTGCATAGAAAAAGAAAGAGTAGTGTGCATGATACAACTTTGTGACTGTCATTTTTCAGATCAGTATATCTGATTAAGTGAGAAACCAGTTATTTTTTTAAGTGTTATTGAATGAAAGTAAAAATTTGTTTGGGTTGTGAATTTGCAGGTAATAAAACTACTTAAACAACTATGCAGTGGATATGGCTTGTCTGTTGTACCGTCTGCATGAGTTGCAGTGATACTGAACGTTAATATGAATTCTGGGGCATGGTTTGTTTTTGGAATTTTATAAAAATGTCATATGGCTTCAACTGGGATGATTGCATGGTCTAGAGAAACCTCACCATTCCTTAACTGTTGGTGCATTATAAGCAGTTTCTTTTCTGTCGTTCATCTTCTGTGTACATGTAACATTTCAGCCTTTTGAATTTAAGTTATGATAATGATTGGTTCATAATCATCTAGCACAGACTTAAATAATAATGTGAATGGATCTGACTTGCATTAAGAACACATGTTCCTTATGACTAACATTGTGAATTTGCTTATGTGCGTTTTTGTGTTGTGTCTTGTTTTGATGGTGGAATTATCTGTATTTATATGCTAATGGACAAATACGTGTATTTACACTAAATGTGAGTTCCAAAGCCTGGACTTCATTCATTCATCAGTAATCTATCAAGACGACAGGTCCACAGTCTCTTCCAAAACAGTTCCTCCACTTAATGCAATTTAGAGCTTTCTCCTTCAAGTGAGAATATCCTCTTCCATCCCCAAGGTCATCCAGCATCTTCTTACATCTTCTTCCTCGTCTTCTGGTCACTTCTGTCCGCCCCTCTATCTTTCCTTGAATAACTTCTTTTAGAAGTCAGTTAGTTAGTTAGTTATTGGAGATGGTGGGTTTCCCCATGCACTTAGACCTGTATTGGTTCATTGTGCTTCCCTCTATGATTTCTACCAGTCTCTATATCCTACCGGTACTGGTGCTTACCATCAGTCCCGCCCAGCCAGCGAGACCGGCTCTACTAGCTGAGAGGTATCTACGAGGGGGACCCAAAAATAACCGGAAACGACCTGTTGCGCGCGCATGCTTTGTAGTTACGAGTTGTGGTGCTAGGTGGTGTTAGCTGGGGCTGTCCCACGACTGTTAGTGAGCTGGCGTCAGTCTGAGTTAAGTGGTTTGTCCGTGGTGCTCTGTTGTGTGTGTTCCTGTTTCAACCCTTTGGCGATTAGTGAGATG